CGCTCAAAATTGTTTTTTTTTACTAAATAAATATATATATGGAATAACGTAACTATTAGATAAACTAATACATTTCATTAATTAAAATATTTAATATTTGGTAACTTCTATTACTAATCAAAACTATAAGCTGCTAAAAACGAATTTGGGGTACTAACCGTTCATAAGTTTTCATAATTGGAATAAAAGACTTTTTTTTCTTCTTTGTTCATGTGTATTTTTGTTATTTAAGTTTGGTTATGTATACTTTAGTTTAAATTAAAGTACTATAATGCCTTTAATTTAGTTAATTAAAAATCAAATTTTAAAAATAAATTTGAATCCCTTAAAACAAGAGTCAAAGATATGCTTATTTTGAACCATCTGATTGACTTATTCTTTGTCTAATAAAAAAGTTTCAAGTATACTAATTAAGAGTTTAAATCTATATATAATAGAAATTAGAAAAGGATAAAATACAATAACAAACGACAAAGGTAAACCCATAAAAAAAAACTTAAAAAAAAAACAAATCAAAATATCACAAAAATATGATAATTGTCGGGATTGTCACCAAGACCAGTATTTTCGATAGTTGGTTCTACTAATGTATTTTTCTTTAATACTACAGAATTAGCAATCTACAATGTCACAATATCAAAACATCAAAGACATCTAAAAGGCAGATAACCTTGTTTGGATTGGATTTGTGACACTGAATCAAAGTTGAAATATTTTTATCCTTTACTAATTTGGAATGATGAATATTAGAATTGCTTGGATGTAGAAACTGAACATATACGAATTAAAAACTATCTAAATTGAAATAAATTTTAGATTTCTTCATAAAGAAAGGCCTTAAACCAAATAATAAAAAAGTCACAAAAGATAGAAATTATAAACTTAGACGTTATTTGATATTCAAAAAGCTGTTTACACAAAATAAAAATAACAAGTTTTTTTATGAAACTTAATGCTTTCACAAATTACTAAAAGAAGTGAACTAACTTTGTTGAAGAAGCGAATTCATATGCATAACAAACCAGAAGAACAATCAACCAAAAAAATCTATAAACTTAAATAGTGAACGGTGTGGTTTTCTTCTTCTCATGTCTAGAATATTTATACATATATAAAGAGCAAATTAATAAAAGTTAAATCCTAAGAGGGGAGTTTTGACCCTAGAAGAACTTTAACCCTAGAAGAGCTTTAATCTCAGACACTGAATAAAATTATGGTTCGATTCTTAAGAGAATCTAGACCCTAAGAAGGGAGCCTTAACCCTCACACATTGAATAAAAGTACGGTTTATACTTATATAAAGAGGAAGTAAGCCACTAACCAATTCAAAAGTCAAAAGTTTTATTATTTCTCAAATAAATAATTCTGATATCTTTCTTGTCATCCAACTCGCAAGACAAGATATTATAATATTTAACATCATAAGAAAAAAACAAATTAGAGAACAAATACCATTAGAAACATGAAAGAACTCTTAAATACGACGATTGAATCTGATTTCAAAAATTTAAAGCACACAAAATATATAACCACAAAACTATAATAGAACATCATCAATGAAATAAATGGCTTGTATAAATAACTAAAAACTTTCATAAAACACAAAAGGAAATCCAAAAAACTAATGAGATCATGCATAACTCTTGTCTTTTGTGATCATTTAATCCATCTCATAGAATCTGATTTCTCTTTCAGAAACTAACTTAATTTATTTAAATCAATATAGGTAACCGAAGCGT